ACCTGTGAACAGGTAACGATCTGTGACAGGCAGAACCTTTGACAGGTCTGACCTGTGACAGGCGAAAAAATTTGACCTGTGAACAGGTAACGGCCTGTGACAGGTAGAACCTTTGACAGGTCAGACCTGTGATAGGCGAAAAAATTTGACCTGTAAACAGGTAACGGCCTGTGACAGGTGGGCTGTTTTTGTTGACCTGTGACAGATCGCAACTCTGGTCCAAACTGTCATCCTGGACTTGTGGCAGTTCCAGTTCCATCCCCTACCTGAACATCATCAAAGTTTCAAAAATTTACTAGGATCATATTGTATGTCAAAACTTTTTCTCAGTGTTCCTAATCTGTCGATATTTTAGCTAGAATCATTCTAAATTTATATCAGTTCCTGCACATTCTAGCAAAAAAAATTAAGACCATGTTTTACATCAAATCATAAGTATTTTTTCCCACTTATTCAAATTAAGAGGGTTTTTTTAGCGCATTTTTTAATCCGAATGAGGTTTTTGGATTTATTTCAGTTTCAGTGTATTTTTACCATGCCTGAACATTCTAAAATGTTTTCAATCCAAAGATTAGAATGTTTTCGAATCTCAAAATTTTGAAAATCTTTCAGAGTATTCAGGTATTAGGGTCATTAATACAAATATTTTTTTTTTAAATAAATAGTTTAATAATTTCTTGGACTGAAAATCGAACCGTCTTGATATTAGCAAAAAATGAATTTAAAACCAATTCAAAAGTATAAGGATTATACGTCCGTATGTATCCTTTCCATCCAATTTTTTTGAAGTGATGAGAATCATGATTTACTTCATGACTGCGTTCAATTCTATAAAATAGCTTGAATGCAAGAAACCAGAGGTCTGTACGACGTCTCGTTAATTAGATGTTTTATTTTAAAAAAAAATATTAGTATTAATGATCTCAATACCTGAATACTCTGAAAGATTTTCAAAATTTTGAGATTCGAAAACATTCTAATCTTTGGATTGAAAAAATTTTAGCATGTTCAGGCATGGTAAAAATACACTGAAACTGAAATAAATCCAAAAACCTCATTCGGATTAAAAAAAACCCTCTTAATTTGAATAAGTGGGAAAAAATACTTATGATTTGATGTAAAACATGGTCTTAATTTTTTTCTCAAATTTTTGGACATGCTTAGGTACGAGGCTAGAATGTGTAGGAACTGATATAAATTTAGAATGATTCTAGCTAAAATATCGACAGATTAGGAACACTGAGAAAAAGTTTTGACATACAATATGATCCTAGTAAATTTTTGAAACTTTGATGATGTTCAGGTAGGGGATGGAACTGGAACTGCCACAAGTCCAGGATGACAGTTTAGACTTAAATAATTCCATCATATTTAAGCTGCTGAGGAAAAGTAGACGTGTTTTGATATATAACATGGTAGGTTTTTGGGGAAAAAAAATATTGGTGCACAAGTAGTACTGTCCAAAACTTTGACAGTCCATAACTCTTTCAGGTTATATCCATTTCCAAAAATTTTTGCAGGACGAAATTGGACGTAAATAGTAGATCGATTTTCATATATAATTTGGCCATAAGAGTTTAGTTCCTATAGTTACTCCCGCTGAAAAAGTGAAGTACGCGGGAAAGATACCCAAAACCTTGTAAGGGGTATATCCAGTTATAGGAAGTAGGACGAAAATATTTAAATGCGGGACGTAAATGGACGTAATATGGACGTAATCCAGGCCAAGTTTCATCACTCCCTGACAACTTGCTCCCGCGTACTTCACAGACACCTATTAATATGCAATGTACATTTAGCACACATAGTTTGAGAATAAATTTATGCTGTTTTAAATGTATTACATTATTTATAACACTTTACCAATTTAATTAAATTGACTTTTCTATTTATTAACGGTTTACGTAGTTTTGCATAACATATAAATGACATTCATTGAATTTAAATTTGAAAAATCCGTTATAAATACGTTACAAATAGATGTGATTTGCATCTTTACGTTAAGAATCCACACGTTATGTAGTAGGCAAGATATATAGATGGGCTCATACAGAGTATACTTGACCATACTCGACCATACTATTTTTTGTGTACTTATACAAACAAAAATTTTTAAAATTTTCTATTTTCAAGTTTTCATTTAAATATCGACAGATGCAACAACATTTGACTTAAGTCAGTTACTTTAAATTATAGCAAAGCATTTGCAATACTCCTGTATCAACAAAACTTAACAGAAAGTTGAAAATTTTGCAAAACAAAAATTGAAAATTTTCTTTTATAGTGTTAGTGCATGTTAGTGTTTTTAGAAAATTCAAATTTTTGACGTTTAAAAACTGTGATATTTTTGTATGAGCACATCTATATATCTTGGTAGTAGGAATGGTACGGATAAACACAAAATCTTTACAATTTATATTTAATGAACTTTATTAATGAATACTTTAAAAACACAGAAAGCGCACATAATTGAAGTTCAGGACATTTTTTAAAGAGTTTCATGTGTTTCCAGGTATGACTTAAATTATATAAAACGTATGAAAAATTTTAATAGTCGTTACTAATTACCCATTAAAAAATGGGAATATATTAACAGTTGAACGAAACGAAGTGCAACGAAGTGGAGTTGAATTGAATTGTTGTGGTCGAAATTGGATTAAAAGATTGAGACTAAAAAATAGCAAATAAAAAAACGTTAAAAAAACTTTTTAAAAAACACGCTTTTTTCAAAAAGACTAAAAATCAACAACTTGAAAATAAAATAAGATCTCACTTTTAGCGAATCAGGATTTTAGAAATTTTCTTGTGACAACTAGAAATGTAACATAATTTTTTTTTCAAAATATTGTGACTAAGTCCAAGAACACAATGACTCGAAAAGCGTGAGGCTTTGAGATTTGACGCTTCTCTTACTTAAGAACTTAGTTGAACTCAGAAATTCATCCTTAAATTACGCCCCACGCTTTTAGAGTCATTGTGTTCTTGGACTTAATCACAATATTTTGAAAAAAAATTATGTTACATTTCTAGTTGTCACAAGATAATTTTTAAAATCCTGATTCGCTAAAAGTGAGATCTTATTTTATTTTCAAGTTTTTGATTTTTAGTCTTTTTGATAAAAGCGTGTTTTTTAAAAAGTTTTTTTTTTCTTATAAAATTGTGTTAAATTATTGTTTATTTGTTAGCTAATGGCGGCTTTGAAATAACACTTGAGGATGAGGTTTCGGCTCTAATGCAGCAAGTGGCTGATTTAAAGTTTCAAAATGAAACATTGGGAGTTCAATTAGCCCAATGTGCGCAGCTTCTGCCTCAAATGTCTGATAATGATCCAGTTGGAAGAAAGCCAGCGACGTTAATCTTCGCAAATGAAAAATTTAAATTCGAAAAATAATTGGTAAGGCTAATGAAATTGTTTTTTTATTTTTTGACTTTATTATTTATTAATTTTTTAATCTATTTACAGCGGATTAATGCGCAACCTGAGGAAATAAAAGAAAAATTAAAGGTAGTATTGACTGAATTTGAAGAGGCAAAGAATTCGGAAGTGGAAGTCCGAAGAAGAAAATCACTGTTATATGCTTTGGCGAAAGACGGCTATAATGAATATTGCGGACAGAAAGCTAGATTTCTCGATGGCCTTGACGCAGTTGGGAGTAAGCTTTCTCGATTTCTCGGTCTCGACAAATTCTCGAGACCGAGACCGAGACCGAGACTTCCCGGGAATTCCCGGGAAGTCTCGACTTTAAAAACTACTTAAAATTTCGCTGAAAGTAATTAAAAAACACTTAGAACATGTAGATTACGTCTATTTGTTATTGAACTTCTGGATATATTCCTTGTTATGCGATCAGTCAAACTAATTTTATTGTCTTAATACTATTATAAAATATAAAAGAAATACGAAATACGTAATGATAAAAGAAAAGCATAATGATAAGAAAGTGTGTCCCTATTAAAACTATTCTGGGTTTTGGAAATGACTTTTCACAAAAACGATAGCATTTAAGTTTTTGTTAAGCAATCGCTTCCTTTGCTTGGTCAAAACATTATTGCTGATTGAAAAATTACGTTCACTCTGGGTAGATGTTGGTTGAATGCTTAGCAGTGCATTATACAGCTGATTTAATTTTTAGTGATATTAAACCATTAGGAAGCTCAATAATTTGCACCCGAAAAATCCCATACAAAAAGAGAAAAAATCCCATACCTCCGAAGAGATTGAAGCAAATGAAAATTTCATGTGTGAAAATGCGCAAATTTCAAGGTCATTTACCCTAACTGTAAGATTAACTACAAACTGTGATGGGAAAAATTCTAAAATTATCATTTTTACTTAAATTTTTTTCTTCTCTAGTCTCGGGTCTCGGTCTCGGAAAATTCTCGAGACCGAGACGAGATCGAGACCGAGACTTCCCGGGAAGTCTCGGTCTCGATTTCGTCATCGGGAAAGCATAGTTGGGAGTGCTGAATTTATAGAAAAAGTGATTAACAAGTTAACGTCTGAGTTTCATTTGTTAGGAACAAAGAGAAAATTTAATAAATAAAAATGTGCAGTTTTAGAATTAAAACAATTATTTTTCATATTCACTTTCTCCTTCATTTTCAGGTATTATAAAAACATTTGAGAAAAAAATAACTGACAAAAACAGTTTGAAAAAAATAACTCAAAAATATTTGAATAAAATAACAGCCAAAATTTAACGGGTTTCTAAATTTTAAATTACAAGTAAGAGAAAAATTACAAAGCATTGTTTTTGTGTAGAATTTTCAATACAGATTTAAAATCAATTTGTCCGTTAATTTTAACCAATATTTTTATTTGGGACGTAGGCACTCAACATTTTCACTTATTAAATATTTACTCGTTATTTTAACATATTCTTTGTATGTTTATTTAAAACAACAGTAAGTTCAGTTTAATAATTCTTAGTTTTAATCAGTTTTAATATAAAGAGAAAGCAAAGATAATTAATTTAATCAAAAACTTCTTATTTTAGATCATGGACAAACTAATTTCACTTCCGGATGAAATATTAGTAAAATGCTGCGATCTACTATCATTTAAAGATTTACTTAATTTATCACTCATTTCAAAAGACTGGTTTCATTTCATTGGTAACACAAACGAAAGTTTAAATAGAATAATATTGGTTTATTCTGAATGGAATAGAGACGCAATTTTAAATTCTTTGAACATTAGACCGTATAACCATGCAAGAATTGAATTGAGATCCTCATTAGATGATGAGAGCATGCGAAATTTGAAATATTTTATCGATAGTTTATCATGCAATTAAGTGGTGAAATGGCATCAGTGGTCTAAATGGTAGAGCGTTGGCCTTCTGTGCCAAAGGTCCTGGGTTCAATCCCAGGCCATGTCTAATTTTCGAAGCTCTTTTTCCATTTCACCGTTCTAGTTACGAAGCTCGGTTCGTGTGTTGGGTGTAGTTTTGAGGTCTTTGGCACAGAATATGCCTCCTTTGCTAGGTATACAAGGATATACTAGCATCTGGATGACTTCCTTACGGCATCTTGCGCACACGAATTGTGACTAGGTACATTGCAGGGTACATCAGGTCTTATGACGTACTCGTGTCTTTACAATGTGCAGAGCTTGCAAGTGGTTCGGATCCCACTATAAACTGTAGGTCTAAAGGGTGTGGTACAATAGATTCTGTTCTAATTTGAATCGCAGTGCCTCCAGCTGAAAGGCTGGGCCCTTCACACATTATTATTATTATTATTATTATTATCATGCAATTTGACCAGCATTGCAACAACCATAGATATACCGTTCATATTAAGTTTACCAAAATTAAAGAGACTTAATTTCTATTGCTTGGATGAACTTCATAAAGGAAGCTTTCATTTTGAAAAGTGTGGGCTTCTCAGCAAGTCAACATCATTAGATGAACTCAGTATCGGTGATTCGTGTGATTTAGTTTTATCACACATTGATGAATTTCTACAAAACTTAAAATTTCTGAAGAATTTAAGCGTACACAACACTTCATTTTTGAACGAATATACAGCCAACAGATATCAATTCTCTTTATTATGTTTCTCTTTTACTGCACACACTGCTGTGCCAATGTATTTACAATTTTTTTTAAATGACCATCGAAAGAGTATCGAAAAACTTCAATATGGACCTGTTTTAAGTTATCATGAGTTGAGAACACTTTTATCATTCCCAAACCTCAGTGAACTAAAATTGTTGCGAATTTCGTTTGAGGCTAAAGAGCATCAAAATTATCCAGTTAACTGCTCAATATCCTCCCTAGAAATTGAAGGTCATTATAAGAATGCTGATGATTTAAATGTCGTGATAAATAATTTACTTTATGTTCTTAAGCATTTAAAATTTCTTACACTTTCACATTTCGATGGCAACATTCTTGAATCTGTCTTCACTAGCAAATCGTTGCGAAAAATTAAATATTCCTCAATTCATAATGTATCTACGCACCAAAAGATAAGGATGATGATGAGCAGAAGGATACTTTTTTTATGCAATCAATTTTAACGCGATTTGTTTTTTAATACTAGTAAAGTTCAATATCATGTTCACACAATTTATGTTTAAGATTAACGATAATCAATTAATAATTCAAAAAAATAAAATATTTCATGTTTTTAAAAATATAATAAAAAAAATAATTCATCAGAGAAGATCTTTCAATATTTTCTGAACAATACATAGAGAGTTCTATAGGATTGTGTGAATATTCCCATGAAGCCTGATCGGCTTCATTACTAGTTTTTTTTTTTTGAAAATAGCCTTCTATGATCAAAATCCAAAAATGCTTTAAATTGCATTTTAAAACATATCTAGGTATTATAAATGGTAAATAATGCTAATATAGATTTAAAATCGATTTTTTTTTGAAAATAGCCTTCTATGATCAAAAACCAAAAATGCTTTAAATTGCATTTTAAAACATATCTAGGTATTATAAATGGTAAATAATGCTAATATAGATTTAAAATCAATTTTTTTTTGAAAATAGCCTACTATGATCAAAAACCAAAAATGCTTTAAATTGCATTTTAAAACATATCTAGGAATTATAAATAATGAAGAATGCTAATATAGATTTTAAATCGATTTGTTATTTTGAAAATAGCCTACTATGATCGAAACCAAAAATGCTTTAAATTGCATTTTAAAACATATCTAGGAATTATAAATAATGAAGAATGCTAATATAGATTTAAAATCGATTTTTTTTTGAAAATAGCCTTCAATGATCAAAAACCAAAAATGCTTTAAATTGCATTTTAAAACATATCTAGGTATTATAAATGATAAAGAATGCTATATAGATTTAAAATCAATTTTTTTTTGAAAATAGCCTACTATGATCAAAAACCAAAAATGCTTTAAATTGCATTTTAAAACATATATTGGAATTGAAAATGATAAATAATGCTAATATAGATTTAAAATCGATTTTTTTTTTTGAAAAAAGCCTTCTATGATCAAAAACCAAAAATGCTTTAAGTTGCATTTTAAAACATATCTAGGTATTATAAATGATAAAGAATGCTATATAGATTTAAAATCAATTTTTTTTAAAAGCCTTCTATGATCAAAAACCAAAAATGCTTTAAATTGCATTTTAAAACATATCTAGGTATTATAAATGATATATAATGCTATATAGATTTAAAATCGATTTTTTTTTGAAAATAGCCTTCTATGATCAAAAACCAAAAATGCTTTAAATTGCATTTTAAAACATATATTGGAATTGAAAATGATAAATAATGCTAATATAGATTCAAAATCGATTATTTTTTTTGAAAATAGCCTACTATGATCAAAAACCAAAAATGCTTTAAATTGCATTTTAAAACATATCTAGGTTAAAAAAATGATAAAGAATGCTAATATAGATTTAAAATCGATTTTTTTTTTGAAAATAGCCTACTATGATCAAAAACCAAAAATGCTTTAAATTGCATTTTAAAACATATCTAGGTTTAAAAAATGATAAAGAATGCTAATAAAGATTTAAAATCGATTTTTTTTTTTGAAAATAGCCTTCTATGATCTAAAACCAAAAATGCTTTAAATTGCATTTTAAAACATATCTAGGTATTATAAATGATAAAGAATGCTATTATAGATTTAAAATCGATTTTATTTTTTTTTGAAAATAGCCTTCTATGATCTAAAACCAAAAATGCTTTAAATTGCATTTTAAAACATATCTAGGTATTATAAATGATAAAGAATGCTAATATAGATTTAAAATCGATTTTTTTTTTGAAAATAGCCTTCTATGATCTAAAAGCAAAAATGCTTTAAATTGCATTTTAAAACATATCTAGGTATTTTAAACGATAAATAATGCTATTATAGATTTAAAATCGATTTTATTTTTGTTTGAAAATAGCCTTCTATGATCTAAAACCAAAAATGCTTTAAATTGCATTTTAAAACATATCTAGGTATTATAAATGATAAATAATGCTAATATAGATTTAAAATCGATTTTTTTTTTGAAAATAGCCTTCTATGATCAAAAACTAAAAATGCTTTCAATTGCATTTTAAAACATATCTAGGTTTAAAAAATGATAAAGAATGCTAATATAGATTAAAAATGGATTTTTTTTTTTAAAACAGCCTACTATGATCAAAAACCAAAAATGCTTTAAATTGCATTTTAAAACATATCTAGGTATTATAAATGATAAAGAATTCTAAATAGATTTAAAATCAATTTTTTTTTTGAAAATAGCCTACTATGATCAAAAACCAAAAATGCTTTAAATTGCATTTTAAAACATATCTAGGTTTAAAAAATGATAAAGAATGCTAATAAAGATTTAAAATGGATTTTTTTTTGAAAATAGCCTTCTATGATCAAAAACCAAAAATGCTTTAAATTGCATTTTAAAACATATCTAGGTTTAAAAAATGATAAAGAATGCTAATAAAGATTTAAAATGGATTTTTTTTTTTGAAAATAGCCTTCTATGATCAAAAACCAAAAATGCTTTAAATTGAATTTTAAAACATATCTTGGTATTATAAATGATAAAGAATGCTAATATAGATTTAAAATCGATTTTTTTTTTGAAAATAGCCTTCTATGATCAAAAACCAAAAATGCTTTAAATTGTATTTTAAAACATATCTAGGTATTATAAATGATAAATAATTCTAATATAGATTTAAAATCGATTTTTTTTTTTGAAAACAGCCTGCTATGATCAAAAATCAAAAATGCTTTAAATTGCATTTTAAAACATATCTAGGTATTATAAATGATAAAAAATGCTAATATAGATTTAAAATCGATTTTTTTTTGAAAATAGCCTACTATGATCGAAACCAAAAATGCTTTAAATTGTATTTTAAAACATATCTAGGTATTATAAATGATAAAGAATGCTAATATAGATTTAAAATAGATTTTTTTTTTCATATTCACACAAAATTTTCAATTTTTGTGAATATGCTTTTAAGAAAATTTTCTTTATTCTGTTAAATGTGCTTTTATTTATGATCGATTCTCTAAGGAATTATTCACCTATTTACCATCATAATACAGTTGATAATTTTTTCCATTTTTTTCTTATTAAATTGTGTTAAATTATTGTTTATTTGTTAGCTAATGGCGGCTTTGAAGTAACACTTGAGGATGAGGTTACGGCTCTAATGCAGCAAGTGGCTGATTTAAAGCTTCAAAATGAAACATTGGGAGTTCAATTAGCCCAATGTGCGCAGCTTCTGCCTCAAATGTCTGATAATGATCCAGTTGGAAGAAAGCCAGCGACGTTAATCTTCGCAAATGAAAAATTTAAATTCGAAAAATAATTGGTAAGGCTAATGAAATTTTTTTTATTTTTTGACTTTATTATTTATTAATTTTTTAATCTATTTACAGCGGACTAATGCGCAACCTGAGGAAATAAGAGAAAAATTAAAGTTAGTATTGACTGAATTTGAAGAGGCAAAGAATTCGGAAGTGGAAGTCCGAAGAGGAAAATCACTGTTATATGCTTTGGCGAAAGACGGCTATAATGAATATTGCGGACAGAAAGCTAGATTTCTCGATGGCCTTGACGCAGTTGGGAGTGCTGAATTTATAGAAATTTAATTTTTAAAAAAAATACAGATTTAAAATCAATTTGTCCGTTAATTTTAACCAATATTTTTATTTGGGACGTAGGCACTCAACATTTTCACTTATTAAATATTTACTCGTTATTTTAACATATTCTTTGTATGTTTATTTAAAACAACAGTAAGTTCAGTTTAATAATTCTTAGTTTTAATCAGTTTTAATATAAAGAGAAAGCAAAGATAATTAATTTAATCAAAAACTTCTTATTTTAGATCATGGACAAACTAATTTCACTTCCGGATGAAATATTAGTAAAATGCTGCGATCTACTATCATTTAAAGATTTACTTAATTTATCACTCATTTCAAAAGACTGGTTTCATTTCATTGGTAACACAAACGAAAGTTTAAATAGAATAATATTGGTTTATTCTGAATGGAATAGAGACGCAATTTTAAATTCTTTGAACATTAGACCGTATAACCATGCAAGAATTGAATTGAGATCCTCATTAGATGATGAGAGCATGCGAAATTTGAAATATTTTATCGATAGTTTATCATGCAATTAAGTGGTGAAATGGCATCAGTGGCCTAAATGGTAGAGCGTTGGCCTTCTGTGCCAAAGGTCCTGGGTTCAATCCCAGGCCATGTCTAATTTTCGAAGCTTTTTCCATTTCACCGTTCTAGTTACGAAGCTCGGTTCGTGTGTTGGGTGTAGTTTTGAGGTCTTTGGCACAGAATATGCCTCCTTTGCTAGGTATACAAGGATATACTAGCATCTGGATGACTTCCTTACGGCATCTTGCGCACACGAATTGTGACTAGGTACATTCCAGGGTACATCAGGTCTTATGACGTACTCGTGTCTTTACAATGTGCAGAGCTTGCAAGTGGTTCGGATCCCACTATAAACTGTAGGTCTAAAGGGTGTGGTACAATAGATTCTGTTCTAATTTGAATCGCAGTGCCTCCAGCTGAAAGGCTGGGCCCTTCACACATTATTATTATTATTATTATTATTATCATGCAATTTGACCAGCATTGCAACAACCATAGATATACCGTTCATATTAAGTTTACCAAAATTAAAGAGACTTAATTTCTATTGCTTGGATGAACTTCATAAAGGAAGCTTTCATTTTGAAAAGTGTGGGCTTCTCAGCAAGTCAACATCATTAGATGAACTCAGTATCGGTGATTCGTGTGATTTAGTTTTATCACACATTGATGAATTTCTACAAAACTTAAAATTTCTGAAGAATTTAAGCGTACACAACACTTCATTTTTGAACGAATATACAGCCAACAGATATCAATTCTCTTTATTATGTTTCTCTTTTACTGCACACACTGCTGTGCCAATGTATTTACAATTTTTTTTAAATGACCATCGAAAGAGTATCGAAAAACTTCAATATGGACCTGTTTTAAGTTATCATGAGTTGAGAACACTTTTATCATTCCCAAACCTCAGTGAACTAAAATTGTTGCGAATTTCGTTTGAGGCTAAAGAGCATCAAAATTATCCAGTTAACTGCTCAATATCCTCCCTAGAAATTGAAGGTCATTATAAGAATGCTGATGATTTAAATGTCGTGATAAATAATTTACTTTATGTTCTTAAGCATTTAAAATTTCTTACACTTTCATATTTCGATGGCAACATTCTTGAATCTGTCTTCACTAGCAAATCGTTGCGAAAAATTGAATATTCCTCAATTCATAATGTATCTACGCACCAAAAGATAAGGATGATGATGAGCAGAAGGATACTTTTTTTATGCAATCAATTTTAACGCGATTTTTTTTTTAATACTAGTAAAGTTCAATATCATGTTCACACAATTTATGTTTAAGATTAACGATAATCAATTAATAATTCAAAAAAATAAAATATTTCATGTTTTTAAAAATATAATAAAAAAAATAATTCATCAGAGAAGATCTTTCAATATTTTCTGAACAATACATAGAGAGTTCTATAGGATTGTGTGAATATTCCCATGAAGCCTGATCGGCTTCATTACTAGTTTTTTTTTTTTTGAAAATAGCCTACTATGATCGAAACCAAAAATGCTTTAAATTGCATTTTAAAACATATCTAGGTATTATAAATGATAAATAATGTTAATAAAGATTTAAAATCGATTTGTTTTTTTGAAAATAGCCTTCTATGATCAAAATCCAAAAATGCTTTAAATTGCATTTTAAAACATATCTAGGTATTATAAATGGTAAATAATGCTAATATAGATTTAAAATCGATTTTTTTTTGAAAATAGCCTTCTATGATCAAAAACCAAAAATGCTTTAAATTGCATTTTAAAACATATCTAGGTATTATAAATGGTAAATAATGCTAATATAGATTTAAAATCAATTTTTTTTTGAAAATAGCCTACTATGATCAAAAACCAAAAATGCTTTAAATTGCATTTTAAAACATATCTAGGAATTATAAATAATGAAGAATGCTAATATAGATTTTAAATCGATTTGTTATTTTGAAAATAGCCTACTATGATCGAAACCAAAAATGCTTTAAATTGCATTTTAAAACATATCTAGGAATTATAAATAATGAAGAATGCTAATATAGATTTTAAATCGATTTGTTATTTTGAAAATAGCCTACTATGATCGAAACCAAAAATGCTTTAAATTGCATTTTAAAACATATCTTGGTATTATAAATAATGAAGAATGCTAATATAGATTTAAAATCGATTTTTTTTTGAAAATAGCCTTCAATGATCAAAAACCAAAAATGCTTTAAATTGCATTTTAAAACATATCTAGGTATTATAAATGATAAAGAATGCTATATAGATTTAAAATCAATTTTTTTTTGAAAATAGCCTACTATGATCAAAAACCAAAAATGCTTTAAATTGCATTTTAAAACATATATTGGAATTGAAAATGATAAATAATGCTAATATAGATTTAAAATCGATTTTTTTTTTTGAAAAAAGCCTTCTATGATCAAAAACCAAAAATGCTTTAAGTTGCATTTTAAAACATATCTAGGTATTATAAATGATAAAGAATGCTATATAGATTTAAAATCAATTTTTTTTAAAAGCCTTCTATGATCAAAAACCAAAAATGCTTTAAATTGCATTTTAAAACATATATTGGAATTGAAAATGATAAATAATGCTAATATAGATTCAAAATCGATTTTTTTTTTTGAAAATAGCCTGCTATGATCAAAAACCAAAAATGCTTTAGATAGCATTTCAAAACATATCTAGGTATTATAAATGATAAAGAATGCTATATAGATTTAAAATCAATTTTTTTTAAAAAGCCTTCTATGATCAAAAACCAAAAATGCTTTAAATTGCATTTTAAAACATATCTAGGTATTATAAATGATAAATAATGCTAATATAGATTTAAAATCGATTTTTTTTTTGAAAATAGCCTTCTATGATCAAAAACCAAAAATGCTTTAAATTGCATTTTAAAACATATCTAGGTATTATAAATGATAAAGAATGCTATATAGATTTAATATCATTTTTTTTTAAAGCCTTCTATGATCAAAAACCAAAAATGCTTTAAATTGCATTTTAAAACATATCTAGGTATTATAAATGATAAAGAATTCTAAATAGATTTAAAATCAATTTTTTTTTTTGAAAATAGCCTACTATGATCAAAATCCAAAAATGCTTTAAATTGCATTTTAAAACATATCTAGGTATTATAAATGATAAATAATGCTAATATAGATTTAAAATCGATTTTTTTTTGAAAATAGCCTTCTATGATCAAAAACCAAAAATGCTTTAAATTGCATTTTAAAACATATCTAGGTATTATAAATGATAAAGAATGCTATATAGATTTAAAATCAATTTTTTTTAAAAAGCCTTCTATGATCAAAAACCAAAAATGCTTTAAATTGCATTTTAAAACATATCTAGGTATTATAAATGATAAATAATGCTAATATAGATTTAAAATCGATTTTTTTTTTGAAAATAGCCTTCTATGATCAAAAACCAAAAATGCTTTAAATTGCATTTTAAAACATATCTAGGTATTATAAATGATAAAGAATGCTATATAGATTTAATATCATTTTTTTTTAAAGCCTTCTATGATCAAAAACCAAAAATGCTTTAAATTGCATTTTAAAACATATCTAGGTATTATAAATGATAAAGAATTCTAAATAGATTTAAAATCAATTTTTTTTTTTTGAAAATAGCCTACTATGATCAAAAACCAAAAATGCTTTAAATTGCATTTTAAAACATATCCAGGTATTATAAATGATAAATAATGCTATAAAAATTTAAAATCGATTTTTTTTGTTGAAAATAGCCTTCTATGATCAAAAACCAAAAATGCTTAAAATTGCATTTTAAAACATATCTAGGTATTAAAAATGATAAAGAATGCTAATATAGATTTAAAATCGATTTTTTTTTTTGAAAATAGCCTTCTATGATCAAAAACCAAAAATGCTTTAAATTGCATTTTAAAATATATCTAGGTATTATAAATGATAAAGAATGCTAATATAGATTTAAAATCGATTTTTTTTTTTTGAAAATAGCCTTCTATGATCAAAAACCAAAAATGCTTTAAATTGCATTTTAAAACATACCTAGGTATTATAATTGATAAAGAATGCTATATAGATTTAAAATCAATTTTTTTTAAAAAGCCTTCTATGATCAAAAACCAAAAATGCTTTAAATTGCATTTAAAACATATCTAGGTTTAAAAAATGATAAAGAATGCTAATAAAGATTTAAAATAAATTTTTTGTTTTGAAAAAAGCCTGCTATGATCAAAAACCAAAAATGCTTTAAATTGCATTTTTAAACATAAATAGGTATTATAAATGATAAAGAATGCTAATACAGATTTAAAATCGATTTTTTTTAAAAAGCCTTCTATGATCAAAAACCAAAAATGCTTTAAATTGCATTTTAAAACATATCTAGGTATTATAAATGATAAAGAATGCTATATAGATTTAAAATCAATTTTTTTTAAAAAGCCTTCTATGATCAAAAACCAAAAATGCTTTAAATTGCATTTAAAACATATCTAGGTTTAAAAAATGATAAAGAATGCTAATAAAGATTTAAAATAAATTTTTTGTTTTTTAAAATAGCCTGCTATGATCAAAAACCAAAAATGCTTTAAATTGCATTTTAAAACATATCTAGGTATTATAAATGATAAATAATGCTATTATAGATTTAAAATCGATTTTATTTTTTTTTGAAAATAGCCTTCTATGATCAAAAACCAAAAATGCTTTAAATTGCATTTTAAAACATATCTAGGTATTATAAACGATAAATAATGCCAATATAGATTTAAAATCGATTTTTTTTGTTGAAAATAGCCTTCTATGA